TCCCATGTACTCTTCACCTGCTGTTAATGCTTGCATGACATCAGTGGGATCAGTTTTTTCAGTGTACTATGGTGGTTTAAAATGTTCGCTGTGGCCAGGCGCGGTAGCCACCTGTGATCCTGTGCTGCCTGTGATCCCAGGACTTTTGGAGATGGAGGCGAGTGGATCACCTGAGGTCGGGAGTTCCAGACCAGCCTGACCAACATGGAGAAACCCTGTCTCTACTAAAAATATAAAATTAGCCGGGCGTGGTGGTGCATGCCTGTAATCCCAGCTACTCTGGACGCTGAGGCGTGAGAATTACGGAGGTTGCAGTAAGCCGAGATTGCACCATTGCACTCCAGCCTGGGCAACAAGAACAAAACTTAGTCTCAGACAAACAAACAAACAAAAAAACGTTTACTGTGCTGCTGCTATGTAGAGAAGATTGAAGAGGCATGAGCACAAGTACAGATAGGATGCTACTGTAGGAGTCCACATGAGAGTTGATGACTAGGGTGGTAGCTGGGACAGTTTAGGCAGAGATTTATCCAAATAGCATCTCAGTACTCTCTTATTTTAAACAGCCTGGCCTAGAGTATCCTACTAAGAATGTGAACAAAGCATTCCTTGAAACCAAATTTCTATAGTTGATTGTTTTTAAAGAGGAACAAAATACTAGCAAAACTTAGATTGAAAAAAATAATTTATTATGAATAAGCAGTTTCAGTAACAAAAGAAGGTAATAATTGAAATGAGCAAATAAAAACCATACCTATGTTCCTTTGTTTTCAATGATTTAGCTCTGTAGGCACTGATTCCTTATAGTAATTTGCCAGTGCTTTTTCTTTGAAAGAATGAAATACTTTAGGATTTAGAATAAATAATAAATTTCAATCAATTTTCTAGATACTTATATTTGTGTGGAAAATGCTTCTTAATTGAACAAAGATTAATTACCAGGATTTTTCAGTATAGAGATAGGTTCTTTTCAATAAGCATGCCTGACGTTTATCCTGTTTATTTCCAGTTTTTACGTATTTTACTTGAATATTTAGAATAATGACCCGTAGCTAGAAATTTTAATGAAAGCATTATATAAAGATTTTGCAAAAATATTTGCATGTATCACATGAATATGCTTTTATAACTATTAATGTAGTGAGGCTGGCCACAGTAGCTTACGCCTGTAATCCCAGCACTGTGGGAGGCCGAGGTGGGATAATCACCTGAAATTAGGAGTTCGATACCAGCCTGGCCAACATGATGAAACCCCATCTCTACTAAAAATACAAAAAAATTAGCCGGATGTGTTGGTGTCTGCCTGTAGTCCCAACTACTCAGGAGGCTGAGGCAGGAGAATTGCTTGAACTCAGGAGGCGGAGGTTTCAGTGAGCTGACACTGCGCCACTACACTCCAGTCTACGTGACACAGCAAGACTCCATCTCATAAATAAATAAATAATTAGTGTAGTGAATAGTAGTAAATAATTAGTGTGGTGAATAAATAAATAATAATGTAGTGAATAGTTTTTTTTCACAGTAGTATTTTTCTAATGTTCTGTTATATAACTTCAATGTTACTGATCTATGTTCTTAAGCCATTTCCTGCTTTTTATTTACTATAAAACAATGAGATCAGTTGAATTAAGAAAACTTTGTTCTAGATATTAATACTTTTTGGTGGTATCTACTCTCCCTCACTTTAGGAACTAAAATGTAGCATTTTTGGTAATTGAAGCTAGAGAGTTATAGACTTTTTATTCTTCATTGTTATAGTTGACCTCTTTCACACAGGCTTTATGAAATTTATGTTTACTAAAATGGGGAACGTGATTGCATAAAGACATTAAGAGGATTGTGTGAGATGCCTGTAAAATGTTTGGAACAATCAATGTCTGACACATAATTCATACTCAGTAAATATCAGCTCTTATTAGAAATACTATGGATACTATTGGGGATTATTAAAGTTTTTTTTTTTTCTTAACAAGACTTCAAGTTAAAGTTTTATTCTTACTAATTCTGAAGAAGTATCTGCAAGCTTCCTTTGTTATTCACTTAATGTTTAATGTATAGCTTCTGGCTGTGAGGCATTGCTACAATTCTTATGTACGTAATCTTGGTTAGTTGTCCACATCAGCTTCCATTTTGTTGAGAAGTGTATTAGGCTGGAGATGCTAAGTCACTTAGTCATGGTTGCATAATAAGGTATGCTTTTTAGCATCACCTAGCAAAACATATCATCTAATACTGATAGTCTTTGAAATTTCTAATCTGATAGATGTTTGCATTGGTTACTTCCTTATAAGCAGAACTGTATGATATGGACTGGGGAAATTAAAACTTGAGTTTGGCACACTGTCTAATTGTGCTGGAGATAGCTATAATAGAAAGTGATAGCTGCTGTCGGACATTATACACGTTTAGAAAAGGGAGATGTTAGCATTGCAGGGAAGGAATTCAATCTGAAAATGGGGTTAGCATTTAAACTGAGAGCTTTAGGAATAGTGGGGTTTGGACATGTTTAAGTGGTGGGATTCTGACATTCCAATAGAGGAAACAGTAAGAAAGCAGGAGATTTGTATAGAAAATAGTGAATAGATTGTTTTGGCTACTGTATGTAGAGTGCGAATACATGTAGGGAAATGTAGATTGGAAAAGTACGTTAGGGCCTGATTGTAGAGGGCCTTGAAATCTTGACTCTTTTGAATTTAGGCATCTAGTAGTTGTTCAATAAATGTTTATAGCCAAGTAGAGTTTAGTCATATATGGCTTTGGGGAAAATAAAGTTGAATGAGGAAGTAGCCTGTGAGATTTTATTAAAAAGGAAATGATAGGCATGTAGAATCGTAGAACGAACACTTTCAGAAGGAGATGGGATTTCCAATCTTGGCTCTGTCATTAAGTGGTTGTAACTTTAAGAAGGTTATTTTAAGGTCTGTAAGTCTTAGGTTCTTAATATGGAAAATGAGGTTTGTGTATAAGACCATTTAAGGCTCATAGTAAGATGGTGACCATATTATTTATTGTCCAGACTAGGACACAGAAGTTGGAAGGAAAGGGGACACTATTACTAGGGCAGCTGAAATAAATTGGGATTATTAAGCCCAATATAAACCAAATTATACCCTTCATATTTTATTATTATGAATGTACTTTCACCTGTTGTATTTTGAAAGTCATGTTTAAAGTACTGAAAAGCGGGAAAAAGGACTAAGACATCAATTCTCTCTTTTTTTTTAATTCTTTTTTGCTTTTTTTTTAAACTTCAGTTTTCTGTGGAACTAAGACATCAGTTCCCAAAGTTTAATGTCAAATAGGGTAACAAGTATTAGCTTCATGTTTTTAGAGTAGTAATGATTAAAATGTACATATAAACATGGAATTGTTCTGAAACAGATTATGTTGTGCAAAATAGAATCAGCTACTCTCATAAATTAAACTAAAAATAGTCGCTACAAGTATATATCTTAATTTGCTGGCATTTGGTGGTAGTAATGAAATATTTCATTTGTGAATTTTTTTTTTTTTTTGAGATGGAGTCTTGTCTTTGTCACCCAGGCTGGAGTGCAGTGGCTTGATCTCAGCTCATTGCAACCTCCGCCTCCTGGGTTCAAGCAATTCTTCTGTCTCAGCCTCCCAAGTAGCTGGGATTTCAGGCATGTGCCACCATACCTGGCTAATTTGTATATTTTTGTAGAGACAGGGTTTCACTGTGTTGGCTAGGCTGGTCTCAAACTGCTGACCTCAGGTTATCCACCCACCACGGCGTCCCAAAGTGCTGGGATTACAGGCTTGAGTGTGAATATTTTCTAGTTAGAATTCTTTAAATGTCTTCAGGTACTGCAATATTTAGGGTGGTTTACCCAGTAATAGTAAGGTCTACCAGACTGCTGTGCTTACTGTTTTAAATTGGCTTTTTGTAGTTTAAAAAAAAAAAAATTCCTCTGATGTTAGGCTCACTGCTGAAAATTTTCTGACTTATCATAGTGGTCCAGTACAATTATGTATGGAAGCATCGCTCCCTTAATGTTCCTAAGTATAAATAAGAACTATATGAAGGCCTCAACATTGTATGGGCTTTGATAGCAAATCTGATATTTATTTTCTGGCTTTTTCATGTTCTGAATAAGCTACTCACACATTTAATAGGATAAAAGGCAAATTCAGATTCAGTAGGTCTGAGGTAGGCCTGAGAGTCTGCTTTTCTAACAAGCTCCTAAATGAGTGGGAGCAGCTATTCAATAGACTACACGCAAGAGCATCAAGGTTCTAGATCATTTATTAGAATTCTGAGAATCTTATAGGGCATTAAAAATAGCTAGATTCTTTTGGAAATTATATCAATAGTTGATTTTAAAAGAAAAATTGGGCTTTTGTAAATTATACAGTTAATTAAAATACTATTTGTCTTTCACATTTCCCTCTTTCATGTCTTAACTCTAGTTTTGCCTCTTTCTCATTTCTTTTTTGTTGTTGTGGTTTTTGCTTTTGTTTAATATATTCTTGTGTTTTGTGGATCTGGTCAGGGAACCGTTACTGTATTTTATGTTTGTATCTACATTTTATTTTGCATGCGTAACGTGGCTTTACCTGGATGTTCTTTTTGGTAAGTTCCAAATTTATATAGCATATTGTTTTTTTGTAGTATAAGTTGTGATGTTTTTCACCTTCTTTTCTCCCACTTCTAGTAATGTGATCATGCTCATGACTTGTTTTTAATTTTTTAAGACTTCATTTGATATTTTTTTTTCTAACACTTCCAGATTTTCCGTAATAGTAGTGCAATTTGGTACTAATCTGCTTTGATTTGTTTTATAGCCTCACACTGTCAGTGTTGATCACTATTAGCAGTTGCTGTCTCGAGTACTTTGGTTTTTTTAAAAAGCCTTAATCATCTAGAAATACTATTCTAAAAGCTTGTGCTTCCGTATGGCAGTCGTAAAAGAAGATAGTTTGTAGTAAAATGAAATACTTTGGTTCTCTATGAACAATGTGTTGTAATTTTGTTTCTACAGCAACAGCTTGCACAACTACAGAAAGAAAAATCAGAGATTCTGAAAAATCTGGCATTATATTACTTCACATTTGTAGATGTTATGGAATTTAAGGTATGTATTTTAATATATAATACTTAACGTTTCGGAAGTAGATTTAATGTTTACTAATTGTGTAAATTGCTCTGTCACTTGTAAATAATAAAATTGGAATTCTTCCAGAACTGAAATTTAAAAGATCCCTTGTTTGTTTGTGTTTTCTGAATTTAAACAGATTTATACAGATAAAAGATTGAAATAAGTATTTCTTTTCAGGACCATGTTTGTGAATTGTTGAATACTATTGATGTTTGCCAAGTCTTCTTTGATATTGTAAGTATCATGTCCAGTTATTCTCTTTCCAGAAGAGCTCAGGGGACCAATTGCTTTTTTTTAGATAGATTATATAACTAACACATAAAGTTTTAGCATTATTAATCTGCTTGTTTTATAGCTTTTAAAAAAAGTAAAGTGTATATTCTCTATATTTGTTTGGATTGTCATTGAGTATAAGTCTTGTACATATTGGGAAATACACCTTAACTTTAGAATTTTATTTAATAGACCCAATTTTGAAAAGTTAAGTGGATAATATTTTTGTAAAAGGCATACTTGATGGACTCTTTCTTAGTATGATAATTTTTGGATATAGGAAGTCAAAGTGAAAAATGTCTCCATTTAGTTAATGGTGAACTTTAAAAAGAGTAATTTTTTTCCTCTTTGGTGAGATTGGCATCAGTGTTCTTTATTGTTCTGGCTTTTATCCTTTTGAACTGTTACCAGTTGGAATATAGATCACAAGCTTTTTTTCTTTCATTCATAAAATTGGGTCAATCACAGAACTGTTATCTGTAACTCCCAAATTATAGACATGCTTTTAGTGAAAGGAATTAGATAGCATTTCAGAATGGGGGATAAAATAAATCCAGAAAATTAATAGCTGTCAGTAGCTTCTATGAAGATTTTGTATGTGTTTAAAATTTTAAGAAATAGGAAGTAGTTGAACTTGATTTTTTTTCTCCTAGACTGTAAACTTTGATTTAACAAAGAACTACTTAGATTTAATTATAACCTATACAACACTAATGATACTGCTGTCTCGAATTGAAGAAAGGAAGGCAATCATTGGACTATACAACTATGCCCATGAAATGACTCATGGAGCAAGGTAGATCTGCATTATAAAAGTCTTTCTAAAATTCTCAATTTGGGGGATTACAACTCATTGAAATTTGATATGTCTGTTTTAAGTGACCGAGAATACCCACGCCTTGGCCAGATGATTGTGGATTATGAAAACCCTTTAAAGAAGATGATGGAAGAATTTGTACCCCATAGCAAGGTAAGAGGTGGCTTTTAGGCATGTGAGAGAATAGGCATATAACATAGCATGAGGATGGATAGTTAGATAAAGTGATAAACTTCTTTTTTGAAAAATACTACAATGGGATATAAGTAATAGTTATGTGTGCTTTTATCTAATTATGGACCAGAGAACTAATTAATGAGATTCACAATAGTGTATAGAGACTCAAGGATATATTGATTGATTCATTATAGTTTTTTAGATTTTAGTTTAGCATTAAACAGTAGGATTTACCATATGGTATTTGAGAGTTCTGTTCTCATACCAATGGATTTTAATAGCAACTCTGCAAATTATAGTATAATATTTGGCAAGTTACTTAACTAACCTCATGGTACCTCAGTTTTCTTATCAGTAAAAATGGAATAACAAATAGTACTTATTTCATATCGTTCTTATGAGAATTAAATGAATTACTTCATTAAAAAGTGCAGAGGATTTGATAAGTTTTAGCTATATTATTATTGTCTCTTAAGAAAAAATGACAGGAGTTTTATGGAAATAATTTGAAATGACTATCTTTTAGGAGATATTACAAATAGTTCTTAATGAAATAATTTTGGTTGTAAGTAGTCTTGTCATTATGGATTCTCTGCAGAAGGGCTAGTTCACAGAACGGTAGTTTCTAAGCACTTCAAGGATATTTATAGGTATTTCATCCAATCTCATTATTTATAGCTAAAGATTAAGGGTTGGAGCAGTATCATGACAAGGTAAGTCATTTGTGACAATGGTGGCAAAACCAGAACTGAAGCCCAGGATACTAGAATCTTGGTCTACATTGATTGTTCTCTTTGAATGCTGAAAGTTAGACTATTTACCTTGTAGAAGCCTGTCTTTTTTCTTTCTCTTTCTCTCTCTTTTTTTTTTTTTTTTTTTTTTTTTNTTTTTTGAGACAGCATCTCGCTCTGTCACCCCAGCTGGAATGCAGTGGTGTGATCTTAGCTCACTGTAGGCTCCAGTTCCTAGGCTCAAGTGATTCTCCTGCCTCTGCCTCTGCCTCTGCCTCTGCCTCTGCCTCTGCCTCTGCCTCTGCCTCTGCCTCTTGAGTAGCTGGGATTACAGGCATGTGCTACCATGCCTGGCTAATTTTTTGTATTTTTAGTAGAGATGGTGTTTTACCATGTTTCCCAGGCTGGTCTTGAACCCCTTAGCTCAGGCAGTCTGCCCACCTCAGCCTCCCAAAGTTCTAGGCTTACAGGCATGAACCACTGTCCTCGGCCACTGTGCTTTTTTCTTGACATACAGCTAACACCAATAATTTTCTTTGAATTTTTTTTAGTCCCATGAAAATTCTGAAGGAATTCTTCCAGATTTGCATAGCTATATTATACACAAATTTATGTAGGTTTTATGTCTTGGAATTGGTTAAATCATAGTTTGCAAGAAGCTTGTGGATGGCATCAGTTTCAAAATTAAAAAAAAAAAAATCAGCATTTTAGATGGAAGTGTCAGAGTTCCTCAAAATGCTGAACAGTAGGTCATCTCCTATCTCTCATGTTAGTAGTGGTTTCCTACCACCTGGAACTGTCTTTTCTGTTCTTCTCTTTTCTCTTTGAATCCATTTTGGATTTTTCTCTAATCGTGGATGGTCTTGTTTTTATTTAGTTATTTTAGATTTGGTTCTTTCTCCATTTAGGTTTTGAAAATCTCCTTAAAGCCTCTTGGGTATCTTTTTAAGTTCTCTGTAGTCATTAGCACATTAACATATTCAGTATATAGTGGGATATTGATAATTACATAGGAGAATTATTCATTTGAATTAGACCAGTTATTTTCTAATCTTGATTTTTTTCTAATATTCCATGATACCTTAGAATTTTGATCAAACACTGTCATGTATTTGCCAGGGTTTGTTTTTTTGTTTTAGATTCATGGGGTACATGTGCAGGTTTGTTAAATGAGTATATTGTGTGATGCTGGGTTTGGGCTTCTAATAATCCAATTGTCAAAGTAGTGAACATAGTACCCAATAGGTAGTTTTTCAACCCTTATCTCCCTCCTTCCCACTTTTGGAGTCCCCAGTGTCTGTTGTTTCTTTGTGTCCACGTGTACCCAAGGTTTAGCTTCCCCTTATAAGTGAGTACAATCAATATTTGGTTTCCTGTTTCTGCATTAATTCTCTTAGGATAATGGCCTCCAGTTCCATCTATGTTGCTGCAAAAGGACATGATTTTGTTCCTTTTTATGACTGCATAGTATTACGTGGTGCATATGTACCACACTTTTTTTGGTTTCATATGTATTTTAGAATAGATTTTTCTAATTCTGTGAAAAATGACAGTAATTTGATTGGAATAGTGTTGAATTTTTAAATCACTTTGGGCATTATGGTTGTTTTAATGATATTGATTCTTCCAGCCCATGAGCATAGAATGCTTTTCCATTTCTTTGTGTTAGTTGTGATTTCTTTCAGCAGTGTTTTCTAGTTCTTCTCTTAGAGAAGTTTTACCTCCTTGATTAGGTGTATTCCTATTTTATTTTTTTGTGGCTATTGTAAGTGGGATTGCATTCTCTTTTTTTTTTTTTTTTTTGAGATGGAGTCTTACTCTGTCACCCAGGCTGGAGTGCAGTGGCACCATCTTGGCATACAGCAGCCTCCACCTCTCGGGTTGAAGCAGTTATCCTGTCTCTGCCTCCTGAGTAGCTGGGATTACAGGCGCCTGCCACCACACCCAGCTAATTTTTGTATTTTTAATAGAGGTGGGGTTTCACCATGTTGCCCAGGCTGGTCTCGAATTCCAGACCTCAGGTGACCTGCCTGCCTTGGCCTCCCAAAGTGCTGGGATTATACGCATGAGCCACCATGCTTGGACACAATTGTGTTCTTGAGTCCTCAGCTTGAATGTTAATGGTGTTTAGAAATACTGCCAATTTTTGTATGTTGATTTTGTACCCTGAGACTTTGCTGAAGTCATTTCGTTTTCTAGGTATAGAATTATATTGTCAATGAACAGAGATAATTTGACTTCCTTTTTTTTCTATTTGGATGCCTTTTATTTCTTTATCTTGCCTGATTGCTCTGCCTAGGACTTAGAGTACTATGTTGAACAGAAGTGGTGAGAGTACAGACATCCTTGTCTTGTTCTAGTTCTTAGGGGAATGCTTCTAGCTTTTGCCTATTCAGTATAGTGGCTGTGGGTTTGTCATAGATGGCACTGATTATGGCTGTGGGTTTGCCATAGATGACACTGACTATGGCTGTGGATTTGTCATAAATGACATTGATTATTTTGAGGTATGTTCCTTCAATGCCTAGTTTGTTGAAGGTTTTGTCATGAAGGGATATTGGATTTTATCAAATGCTTTTTCTGTATCTATTGAGATGATTATATGGTGTTTTTAAAACTTTGTTCATGTGGTTAATCACATTTATTGATTTGCTTATGTTGAACCAACCTTGCATCCCAGGAATAAAGCCTACTTGATCATGGTGAATTAACTTTATGATATCCTGCTAGATTTGGTTTGTGAGTATTTTGTTGAGAATTTTTGTGTCTATGTTCATCAGAGTTATTGGCCTGTAGTTTTCTTTTTTTGTTGTATTTTTGCTAGATTTCATTCTTTGAAAGAAATGAAAATAGTGACACAACATACCGAAACCTCTGGAATGTGGCAAAAGCAGTGTTAAAAGGAAAGTTCTTGGCACTAAAAAGATGATAGAAAAAGCTGAAATTAATAACCTAACCTTGCACTTAAAGGAACCAGAAAAATAAGAATGAACTAAACCTAAAGGTGTCATAAGAAAATAAATAACTAAAATCACAGAAGAGCTAAACGAAATTAAGACCCAAAAACCATACAAAGGATCAACGAAACAAAAAGTTGGTTCTTTGGAAGGATTGTCAACAAGGTTGACAGACTCCTAACTAGATTAACAAGGAAAAAAAGAGAGAGGATCCAGATACGCACAATCAAATGAGAAAGGTAATATCACAACCAATCCCACAGAAATATAAATGATCCTCAGAGACTACTAGGAACATCTCTGTACACATAAACTAGAAAATCTAGAGAGGGAATAGTAAATTCCCATAACACACAATCTCCCAAATTTCCCAGGATTTCAAAAAATTAAGTTAACATAATTTAATTTTAAAAACATTCTTAGTTGGCTACATCAGAATCACTTTGTGTAGCTTAATAAAATGATAGATCCTTGGGTTCTGTTTCCAGAGGTTCAGGTTCACTAAATTTCAGTTGGAGCCCTGTATTCTGTATTCGGAACAAACTTCTCTGGCATTCTCTGTGCAGTCAGGTTAAAGAATCACTCTTTACAGAATTTTTAGGAAGCAAGGATTAATAGCAAAGGACTTTTATGAAAGCAAGCAAGAAACAGTTGAGATGAAACGTTAAATACCTTGAAAATTAAGCTGTAATCAACAAACCAGTTGGCAAAGAGAAGTAATTTATTAAGATGAGGTACAGTGGATTATTTTTATAAGACATTCTTTAGAGAATTGCAAAGCATGTTGAGTTTTATTAACACTTAGCCATATTACCCTGAAATCTTTTTCTTTTAGAACTATCAGAAACTATCAGAATGGAAACTTATGTCTTGACAGAAAGATGACAGTAGGCTCCCTATCCCTTTTGGAATAAAGATCCCAACATTACCACATATTTTAACCTTTAAGAAAATAACATGAATTTCTGAGCTAAGCTTTTGCTCAAAAATGCAGAATCTGTGTAGCTTTTATAAAACTTATCATAAAAATTCTAGAGGAGAGGAGCCACAACTCAACTCAGGTGTTATAAGGAACATGGCTGTAATTAGGCCGTGTTGTTTTATGATGGTATAGTTATAAATGCAAAGCAATTGTAGCTGGAATATAAACAGAAAAGGAAAAAAATTCTTCAGCTTTCTTTTTCGTGTTTTAATTAGTCTCTTTCAGATGCACTAATTTCTCTTCAAATGGTATATCCTCGAAGAAATCTTTCAGCTGACCAGTGGAGAAATGCCCAGTTACTGAGCCTCATCAGTGCACCTAGTACAATGCTCAATCCTGCGCAGTCTGACACTGTATGGTTCTATTTTTCTATTTTGAATGAAAATAAAGTGATTTTAAAAAAATAATAGTTAAGCAATGCTGTTGCAGTTTGTTTCTAATTAGTATTAGCTTATTAGTTGAAGTTCATTATAAAAGTAATGTTCATTACCTAAGTCATATAGTTCAGATTTTTTAGCTTTAGAGTCTTAATGAAAACTGATGTTAAATTAATATGATGAATAGTAGGAATATTTTTTTCTTTAAAGTTTAAAAATTTGTTTTGCTTTTCATGGTAGAAAAATCTGAAGATGTAGAAAAGTATAAAGAAAAAAAATCACCCCAAATCTCACCAAGTAGAACCAGGTGACAAAATCATTGTTATATTCCATTATGCTTTTTTCAATCTTTTCTCTGTATTTATGAACATAGGTGTTACTACACATATGGAAAATACATACATATAGCTACTGATTTTGGTGAGGCAGTGAGCATCCAGATACATACATGTCTTTTAACTTGCCTAAAATTTTATCTTTTGGAATATTGTTAACCTTGAAATAGGCTTGAGAAATTGATAAGTTGTCATTTATCAGATTAAACAAAGCAACAGTGTTTTTTAAAGAGAGGTTTGAGGGTATGCAGATGTAAAAGGGGCATACTTCTCATTGTCATTTATTGACTGCAGGTTTCAGTATAGGTAATAAAACTTTTATCCAACTCTTCAAATCTGTTCTGGTAGTATTTGGGCCAAGAGTTGGGTAGTAAGTTATCAGGAGAAAGGGAGGAGAGTGGTTCAATATGGAATATTTTTTAGAATTTCTTTTAACTGACAATGTATATATTCTCTTTTTAAGATGCCTTGTGAATATCTCTCTTTGGATGCAATGGAAAAATGGATTATCTGTAAGTAAAATGGGTTAGTTTTGTGATTACTCCTCAGATTTTATGTTTTAAAGAAAAAAGCAGGTGACATTGTTACTACCTCTGTACTTAGCCCTGTGCCATCCCGTCTATGTCCATCACCTCTTTCAGTCCTCATATTGATCCCGTCAGAGTAGACAGTATGTTTGTTTGCTTGTTTTGAGATGAAGTCTTGCTCTGTTGCCCAAGCTAGAGTGCAGTGGGACAGTGTCAGCTCACTGCAACTTCTGCCTCCCATGTTCAAGCAATTCTGTCTCAGCCTCCCCAGTAGCTGGGACTCCAGGCAGACAACACCACGCCCGGCTAATTTTTGTATTTTTAGTAGAGATGGGCTTTCACCATGTTGATCAGCCTGGTCTCGAACTCCTGACCTCAGGTGATCTGCTGCCTCAGCCTCCCACAGTGCTGGGATTATAGGCGTGAACCACTGTGCCTAGCCAGGTAGTCTGTTTTAAAGTTGAGGAATCTAAAACTTAGGCTACACAGATAGTGAGTGACAAAGACAAGGTAAAAACCCCGCCTAACACCAAGACTCATGGGCTACATTATATTACCTTTCAACATAACCTTCAAAACTAAATTTTGCTTTTTCTTTTAATGATTATTTAAATATCATGTCTCTTCACTTAAAGTTTTTTATTTTAATTTACTTCAGTTTGTATAATAAATGACTCATATGTTTGGCAGTTTTTTAGATGCATAGGAGATAAAAGTACCAGCTTCTGCTCTTAAGAAGCTTACAAACTGTGGGAGAAATAGACACAAGCTTTTTTTTCTGGTTGTTTTTTTTTTTTTTTTTTCCCATCATTTTATTGTGAACATCAAAAGAAGAGTTGAAATAATTGTGGACTGAACACGCATAAATCTACCACCAAGTTTCTATGACTTCTAATAGCTTGTTGTATTTGCTTTTAAGGTGTTTATTTATTCATCAGCTTCAAAAGAGATTTTATTTATTTAAACTTTTAGATTCATGGGTATGTATGCAGGTTTGTTACATAGGCAAATTGCATGTCATGGGGATTTGGTGTACAGATTATTTTGTCACCCAGGTAATAAGCATAGTACCTGATAGGTAGTTTTTTCATTCCAACCCTTAGGTAGATCCCGGTGTCTGTTGTCCCTTTCTGTTCTTGTATACTCAGTGTTTAGCTCCCACTTATAAATAAGAACATGTAGTATTTGGTTTTCTGTTCCTGCCTTAGTTTCTGAGGATAACAACCTTCAGCTCCATCCATGTTGCTGCAAAGGATATGATCTCATTGTTTTTTATGGCTTTGTACTATTCTGTGGAGACACACGGGTTTAATACAGAATGAGAATTTCTATAATATAGATAAATTCCTCCTACTCACCCCTAGGCTCATTGCTACAGGGGAGTCATTTTGAAGTGTTGGTGTTTTTTCATTCTTACAGGTTTTGTTTTTGATTTATTAACCTTTATTGGCCCTCCATACCCTGGGGTTCTGCAACCAGAGATTCGGTCAGTAGCCAATTAAAACATGGGAAACATTTTCACAAAGGCCCAAAAAGCAAAACTTACTGCGTAATGAGTACTACAATGAGTTCACACAAATGAAGTGATGTGTAAACATTGTATTAGGTATTAAAACCAATCTAGAGGTGATTTAAAGTATGCAGGAGGAAGTGCGTAGGTTATATGTAATACCATTTTATATAAAGAACTTTAGCATCCACAGATTTTGGTATCTCTGGATGGTACTGGAACCAGTCCCCTGCGTTGACAGATGACACTATTTGTTGACTTTTTATTACAGTGTTTCTCAAATTATGTTGAAGGACCCGTTTTTCTTCTTTAATATTTTTTGGATTGATTCTTTAATAAAATAAAGAAAATGAATTGCTAGAATTACCAGAAGAGTGAAGTAATAAAGACATAAAACCCAAGCCCATAGTTTTTATTACTAGATTCAGTCTAATAGATTATTAGGTTTCTACTCAGAAATCACTGAAATTTTTATGAAAATTTCTAAATACCCTGTTCCAATACTTAGTCTCATTATGGACTGATGCTTGGAGTGTGTTGTTTTTCGTATGAAAGAGGAAGAATTTAACACTACTATCTGCCCTTAGCTATTTTTATTAATTATTTTATTTGTTACATTTGTGATATTTATATTTCCTTCTATAAAGATAATTGAGATTCTCATGCTTTGTCTCATAATTGATTTAGAAAATCAGCTTTCAGAATTTTGGTCTTGCTCAATTGTGCGCTGATTGTTAGTTGTTTTGTGTTTATGGATGTACAGCTGAATAACTGAGTTAATTAGTAGAGTTAGCTGTCATAAGTGAGTTCTGGAGTTAGATAGGATTGTTCCCCCTGCCCCAACTCTTTACCTTAAATGGGAATACTTACAGCATGGGTTTGTGTAATGAGCTGGCAAGCCGATCAGGAAGCAGGCTACCCTAATGGGGAATACATAGGCATGGAGAAGGCAGAATTGGGATAACCACTATTGCCAAAATAAGGAATGAGTTTTACTTCTTTCATGTATTTGAACCCTCAGTAGAGCTAATATAAAGGTCAGGAGTTGCCTCAAATTCTGCACTTCTTTTTTTTGGAACTACTACCCAGACTAGAATTTTTCTTTAGTAGATAGTCTACTTTCTTTGGAGCTTTGTTGTGGATTAGTTCAAAGTGTGGTTCCTGAACCAGCAACATCAGCATCACCTAGGAACTTCTTAGATATGCAGAATCTTGATCCCTACCCAAGATCTACTAAGCAGAAACTCTCTGGATAGATGTTAACAATCTGTTAATGTACTGTCTCAGTGATTCTGGTGCAAGCTGAAGTTTGAGAATCGCTGCTCTAGATTATAACCTGATGCTAAGAGTTGTGCAGGATGTAGGATATTGAGGACTTAGAGACTTGGACTACAGTTATAAAATTAATTATCCTAATGTTTATTTTAGGGTTCATTTTTGAGTCTGTTGAGTAGACTTGGGAGAATCCTTGGGAAAGATTTTTTTTTCTTTATCTTCAGAGTTTTGAATTACTAATTTCTGCCTTTTTTTTTTTTGTATTGATAGTCTAATTTTATCTGTTTTCTGCCTTCAAAGATTTTCTTCAACTTTCTTGTCTGAACTTGGTCTTCTAAGAGCTTCTTTTAAATTTTTAAATTTTTTTTTGTCCTTTCATCCTAACTTTCATCAAGGAGATTAATGTGTAGTTTAATTAATAAGTCATCCCCCTAATCTTGGGCAACTTATTTTACTTTATTTTTTGAGTCTTGCTCTGTTGCCCAGGCTGGAGTGTGGTAGCGCCATCTCGGCTCACTGCACCCTCTGCCTCCCGAGTTCAAGCAGTTCTCCTGCCTCAGCCACGTGAGTAGCTGGGATTACAGGTACCTGCCACCACACTTGGCTAATTTTTGTATTTTTAATAGAGATGGGGTTTTCACCATGTTGGCCAGACTAGTCTCGACCTCAAGTGATCTGCCCCCCTTGGCCTCCCATAGTGTTGGGATTACAGGTGTGAGCCACCATACCCAGCCTGGGAAATCTGTTTTTAAATTCATTTGCCTTTTTTGGTCCATTCTAAACAAATAAATATACTTTAACTCGTAACACATATCTTAAAAACAAACACTTTGATAAAAATTTTCAGAAAAACTTTTGTATTAATAGTAGCAAGTATTTTGTAAATATAAGTATACAAAGAGATGGAGGACACTAAGTAAAATCTGATTTCACTCAGGATTAGGGTGGAAAGTCAAGTACCTAAGAGGAAAATGTTTTATAAACAAAATTTCTCTTGAGAGTTCTTTAATCTTTCATACATGTATTCTGTTTCTTTGATTGTGTGCCAGATTGAATAATTGGCATGTTTTTGGGGCCCTGTTATATGAAAAATATTTTTGTATAGTTCAAGTGAAAGCAGTTAAATATACTTCTATGTGTATTATGATATATGCCTACTTACAGAGTTAGCTTGATTCTGTAGTGGCTCAAGAAGGAAGCTTGAGTTAAGAATCAAAAGATAAATGCTAAGTATTATGTTAAAGTGTCGAGATAGTTGTACAGTTATAATAGGAGCTAAAACATGGGAGTGATTATTGAGAATCGTAGGGAAATCTGAAAGAAAATGGGATTGGACTAACTGGCCCACTGCAGAACCTCAATTATGGTAGACACTGAGTAAATGTTTCTTGAATGAAAGTTGAGGTTTTACATCCTAGTATAGAAGACTAGAAAGGATATCAGTAAGCATATATAAGATTATACATTTATGTAAGATTTCCAGATTGATAACAAAAGGTAAAAAAGATATTTAGAATTCATGTAATAGAGAGCAACTTAATGTATTGAAAGAATATTAGACTTTGAGGATGAATGCTTGGGGCAGAGTACTAGCTTTATTACTTTAATAGTGTTTTAGTGAAGTCAATGACCCTTCACTCCTTCAACTGTAAAGAAGCATATGGGCAAGGTGCAGTTGTTCATGCCTATAATCCCACTTCTTGGGGAGGCTGAGGTGGAAGGATTGCCTGAGACCAAGAGATTGAGACCAGACTGGTCAACATAACGTAAAACCCCATCTCTACCAAAAAAAAAAAAGAAAAGAAAGAATACCACTTGCCTTGTCTACTATGTAGGATAATCATTTGAAAACATATATTTGAGAAGACTTAATAAACTATAAATTGCTATTAAAATGTGAGATGCTGTTACTTTATGATTTATTCTTGATTTAGGAAAGTAGATTCACTATATATATATATACATATATGTATAAATAAAATTTTATTTTTTTGAAATGAGCCATCTTGGCTCCCTGCAGCTGCCTCCCGGGTTCAAGCTATTCTCCTGCCTCAGCCTCCTGAGTAGCTGGGATTACAGGTGCCCGCCACCTGTATTTTTAGTAGAGACAGGGTTTCCCCATGTTGATCGGGGGGGTTTTGAACTCTTGACATTATGATCCACCTACCTCAGCCTCCCAAAGTGCTGGGGATTAAAGGCATGAGCCACGGCATCTAGCCCCAAGATAAGCTTTATTTTAAGTTATTGTAACAAGTGTAACGATTACTGCATTATATGTTAATTAGAAATTTCTGATCTTTGGCTGAAAATATTTTATAAATATTACTTTTATTAAAATGACTTGATTCATAACCCAGAAGTGACATTTTTTTTCCCTTTTGTCAGTGCAGGTTCAAATAACTGGTTTTGCAAAATACAGGAAATTATAATTGGAAAAGAAACATATTGTTACCATGTTTTCTACATAGGTATTGTTACTGTCACTCAGAAGTCTCAATTTAGTGATTGTGGTTACATTTCTGTATTTTTCAAAAGCCACCCTTTTCACCAAACTTTGGAATACTTTTACATTTGCACTTATATTTGCTTTTCTTTTTGTTTAAAGTTGGCTTTATTTTGTGCCATGGGATCCTAAATACTGATGCTACAGCATTGAACCTTTGGAAGCTAGCTCTTCAAAGTAGCTCTTGCCTCTCTCTCTTTCGGGACGAAGTTTTCCACATTCACAAAGCTGCAGAAGACTTATTTGTAAACATACGAGGGTATGACATTTTCATTTATTTTGTCTTTTTTGGAGAAGGGTGAGTGAGTTATCTTTACTGAAGTTTTGGGGATAAAGAAGTAGTCATACCATACAGGAAGATGTAGCTTATGCCATCTGACTTTGGTCCCAGGAAGTTGTTTTTAACAGTCATCCTGATAGGTAACAATCATATTTTTTACAGGTAGCTTCACATATTTAAAAAAAAAAATGAGGTTATCTGCCTTTTCAAAACATTTATTAGAGAAGGAAGATATGTCTTCTTTTGCAAGTCATATATGATTGTAGATGTAAACGTACCATATACATTTAAGAGGTTTAAAATTTTTAGAAGTGTTATTTTAGGCTAGAGTACACTTGTAAAAGTATATGAAGCAATCAAAAATACTTAATTGGATTAATTTTAGCAATTACAGAAGTCATACCACTGCACGTAGGAAACTATGTTGTTTTTATTTAAATAATAGAAAGTATTCCACCTGATTTATTTTTATTTACTTTCAGTTAAGCCAATAATGATCTGAAATGTGTTTCTTGGAAATTTTTAATAGCTTTATTTCTCTCCACTCGAGATTGTGTAGCCAATATATAAAAGCCAAATTGAACTCAGACTTGTTGCCAATTATGAAATCTTTTAAAAATACCTAGAATCCCCCCCGTACTTATGTTGGATATTTATGTTGGGCTTGCTAGCTTCAGATAAAAATGAAATTTGCCCACATTTATTTCACATCCAGTTCAATAATGTCTGAATGAAATTGAGATGAAATAAAACTTCTAGATATTTAAAAATAAAAATAAGTCTGACACTAAATTTAAGCCAATATATCTCACATTTTAGCATACATAAGAATTACCCTGAAATGCAAATTGAAATCCAGGTTCCTGAGCAGCACATCTAACCTCCTCTGTCTGTATCTTGGAGAGGTTAAAGGCATCTCCCCTTTTCTTCCCTAATAGTTTATTGAGATAAAATATACAAACAGAAAAATACATATATCTTAGTTGTATAACTCATTGACTTTGCATATGAATACTCCTGCATCACCACCACTTAAATCAAGATGTAAGAAGATTGCCATCATTTCTGGAAAATTCTTTTGTTTGTCTTTCTAGTCAGTACTGCCATGCCTAATCACCACTCCCCCCACTCCTTTCTCAAGTGACTACAGTTCTGATTTCTGTCACCATACTGATATTCTGAGGCCAGTGATCTGTCAGTCATATGATAAATAGTGCCCTGTGTACTTTTCAGCTCTTATTTTAGATGGTGGAGTACCCTGAAATATTATATGCAAGGTGGGCTTTGTCATTTTCTAATTGATTTAGATTGAAAATCATGAAACTTATATTAATATCATATATTAGCATACTGACAAACTGATTGTGGAATCATATTTAAATATATATAAATTTTTAAAACCGGTTAACCTCTGTATATTGAGTGAACTTACATATGATGCAAGTACATTTAGTGGCACCATGAAACCAGTTGTTTTTGTTATGCTTTATTAGTGAGAAATTTATCATTTGAGAATCTCTATTTAAAGTTGTGAGAAGTTTGTGTTTTTAATTTGTAAATGACGTCCAGTTTAAAATATGAATTTTCATAGTCAAACCATAAGTATAAAAGCTTATTAATTATAGAGGGTGATGATTACAGAATTATAATATTTTGAACATTTGCTCAAAGACTATGTAAATCGTAGAGAACTTAAGTGTAGAAGTTGAAGTTTATTTTAGTGTAAGGGATTTTTATTTATTATTTATTTTTGAGATGGACTTTTGCTCTTGTCACCTAGGCTGGAGTGTAGTGGTGTGATCTTGGCTCACTGCAACCTCCGCCTCCCAGGTTCAAGTGATTGTCCTGCCTCAGCCTCCTGAGCAGTAGGGATTGCAGGCATCCGCCACCATGCCTGGCTAATTTTTATATTTTTAGTTGAGATGGGGTTTCACCATATTGGCCAAGCTGGTCTTGAACTCCTGACCTCAAGTGATCCACCCACCGTGGCCTCCCAAAGTGCTGGGATTACAGGTGCAAGCCACCACACCCAGCCATAGTGTGAGAGATTTTTAGATAAGTTGTCAGGAAGATATTTTTTCTTTAACAATTTAGGAATTTTGATTTTTTCATATCTATTTTACGGTGGCATCTTTAAGCTGATTGATGTTGGTGTTGTTCTTTTAATTAAATGTTTTTTTATTTGAAAAATAAGATTTTTTTAAAAATACAGATTAAAGTCATACATAGTTCTCTTAAAAATAATTTAAAGTAGGCAAATGCTTTCCTGCCTCAGTTTTCACCATCACAAAACGTTTATATCCAAACAGTCACTACTTTTGATCACTCATATATGGCCTTTCAGAATTTTTTTATGCTTACGAGATAGCCTTGATTAAAAAGTCAGAAATTATAGCTTTGTCAGCACTTTAGATTTTTGGAAGCTGATGTTAATTGCATCAGAAGTATGATTTCAGTGTCTCCATTGGGGATTAAGGAAGTAACAACATTTAATAAAATAAAAATCTACATTGTGATGTTTAATTTTATTGTTGGATTTAATATAATGTGACTTTTTTTAGGAAGACTTGACTAGACATCTAAGTGCTAGGAAAAGGTGTGGGTAGATTCTTCTGTGAACTTCCAGTTTGAGGGCTAGTTTTTAAATTGATGTTGTCATTTTTAATTGACTTCTAGGAGTAGACTTACTCATTTTGACAGTGATTGATCAAATTAAACTGATTTTCTAATTTGTTTTGCACATAGCTATAATAAACGTATTAACGACATAAGAGAATGCAAGGAGGCAGCTGTGTCACATGCGTAAGTAGTTTTATTTTCTTTGTGGTAGTTTTAATCAAGAAAAATTCTTAAAGCATTTTGTTGAAGTGAGTACAGATTAATAGTGTGCAAGATGTGGTAGTAGAACAGGGGGACTTTCAGTCATTGAGAAATATTAAGTAGATAGCCTCTTTTAAGTGATTTTGAAGTATTGATAAAATGCTATACGGAAGTATTACACTTATTTATAAGTAAGGACTCTTACTTTGGGTAATAATCACACTGCCACTATGGTCTGCATACCAACATGATTTTTGTACTACTACATGAAAATCAATATATCCTTATAACTCTTCCAGATAATAATTTACTTTTTTTTTTCTTTTAAGACTGACTCTTGCTTTGGCACCCAGGCTGGAGTGCAGTGATGCCATCTCAGCTCACTGTAGTCTCTACCTCCTGGGCTCAACCATTCTCCTGCCTCAGCCTCCTGCCTAGCTGGGATTATAGGCACCTGCTGCACATGCCCAGCTAATTTTTGTATTTTTAGTAGAGACAGGTTTTCACCATGTTGGCCAGGCTGGTCTTGAACTCCTGACCTCAAGTGATCAGCCCACCTCCGCCTCCCAAAGTGCCGGCATTACAGGCGTGAGCCACCATGCCCAGCCAATATTTACTTTTAAGAGGACAACTCTTCCCAATTTTAGTTTCTTATGTTAGTAAATGTATAGATGTCCTGAGAAATTAGTGTATTTTAAGACTTTGAACAACTTTCTAGTTTTCTCATAAAATAATTCTAAATAATTTGATATTTCACTTTAATTGTTATGTATATGATATACTTAATGTAGAATATTTTCTCCAATGAACTTAGGTAATATATAGTAAGAATATATCTATCAATATTTCTGTATAAGGCAGAGAGAAGACAATCATCACTCCATAGATAAAACTGTAAAACTACGAGAAATTTTAGAATTTAAGTTTAGGCTATAAGATAGATATTGGGAATGTAAACCATCTTTACTCGCTGTATCTCTGCTATATCATTCATCATTCATATTTTATTGACTTCAATGAAATACATGTGCTTAATTTTTTTAAAAAAATGATTTCTAGTGCAAATAGCATACTTTGAAGTTTGTTAGAATTCCTCTCTAGACTTGCAGAAGTGCACGTAATTATTATTTCTATATGGAATAGACCCTACTATAGGCAGATAAATATATATAGGCATAGCTATCTTTTGTAAAGATGTTTTCCAAGTAAGGTATTGTTATTTTCTTTCTGTTTATTAAATTATAGTAAGCAGTAGTAACTTCTAGGACTAATTACCGTGCCAGGCCCAAGTGCTTTATAGACATTATATTCCAATAAACATCACAGACTGCTTATAGTAATCCTGTGAAGTAAAATAATCAAAATAACATTTGCTCATTTTCTTTTTGGAAATGACACGATGACTTTACTATTGTCAGTGAAAAGAGCTTGTCATTGAAATTAAAGTAACATGAAAGCACTATATATCAGGCATCATGGAAGATTGTGCATCTTTTGAGAACAGGTGTCATCATACTTACTCTTTAGACAAGAAGCTGAAACTTAGAGTTGGAACCTCAGGTCATGTGGAGAGAGCATAGATTTTAAATTGAGTCCTCTGAAACTGATCTACTGTGTCACAGTGAAATTACTAGTGTTGGGTATTCTTTATACTTGGGTTTTTGGCATATGCATCATTCATACACACACACACACACACACACACACACACGAGCAGTGTGTATTTTGTGTAGTATGAGGAGTTGTAATACTTAGAACATTTTCTGATTTTTTTCTTTCTGGTAATAGGTGAGAAAGTTTTCTAATCTTAATTTAAAAATACCTAGTATATGAATATTTATGATTATTCCTTCCTTTCCTCATCTTTCTATTTTTGAACAGGAGTGCCAAATAGATCTCATCCCAATACCTTTATTGACTGTAGCTCTTATGTATTCAGTTTTGTATATTTAATAGTAATATACTTAATAAGATTATAACTAGATATTTATTAAGTTTTATTTATTAATTTCTATGTGGAAGTGACAAAAATATATACAGTAAGTCAGTTCTTGCCTTCAAGCCTTCAAGGAATTTTTTTTTTTTTTTTTTTT